CTTCATGCAGTGCAGCTGCTACAGAGCGTAACCAGGTCCACGTTCTGACTGGAGCCAGTTTATTTGATAAATAAAAGTTGCTCCTTGTCAAAATCTGGAACTACTTTAAACTAAAACTGTAGCAGTTAATGGTTGATTCTGCTTTTAACTGGTTTTGAATGCTAAAAAACACCCGGGACTTTTTAATGAAGGCTATTCCATGAATAGAGGATGTTCTTGCCAAAGCTCTGTACCAGATAACTGAGCAATCTTCGTTTCCTTTTTCCTCTAAAGTGGGACTCCCACACGCCACCACTGTAAACATAGAGCTTGCCTCCATAAACATGATTTTTGATGTTTAGCACAGCAAGGAGTCATACGCTAAAGTATTTAAAGTGCAGCAAGCTTCTCACATTCTGAGTAGCAGCCCTAAAAATAGCTGTTTATGGATGATACCAGATGGATATTAGGTATTAACAGTCACTGGGCAACGATTATACTTCTTTGTAAAGAAGCTCAGCTTTATACCATCCAATAGGGTTGAAGCCATTTAATTTGCTGCCCTAAGCCATAATAGCTGCTTTTTCATAAATTAGAGCAGAAGATGGATTAGTTAAAATCAATTTCTACAGAACACAGAACAGCATCAGACAAAGCAAACTGCTATAAGTATTTGGGCTGATGGTACTTTCTACTAAACAAATACTCCTACAGCATCCCAAAACTGTTCTGTTTCTAAAGACCTCTGAGTAAAACACATCTGAAAGCAGCTCTGCATTTCAGCGTCTGTGTATAGAGCAACACATACATCTGTACCGCACAGCTGACCTTGTGTGACTCCATAGCACAGCATCGTGACAGCATTAGCCGTCTGCACCAGCTGACAGGGCGAGCACTCTGGTTTGTTAGGTTTGTTATTTTTGTGACTACCATCATTAGTGATTTCCTGTGGATTTCATCAAAGTTCTTCATCTTGTTTTGGAGCCCACATCGTTCCCTCAGATGGCTAGCTTGTTTTCACAGCTCAGAGCTTTCCCTACTGAAGACAGCTGCACTTCACAAATTGCTCTCTCTTACAGCTACAAGATATCAGGAAATAGGGGTAATTTTTATTGTATTTATTTGCTTTTATAATAAAAAAAAAATGGTTTTCATTCTGTATGGACCACTAGGTCTATACAGACAAAATGCATGCATTTGGAACAACTGTTTTATAACTCAAAAAAATATGTAAAGTTTTTCCAGTTTGAAATGAATGCCAATAGCATTTGGATATTTTGTATCTGAAAATGGAAACTTTATAACAAAATCTATTCACCAATCTGATGTTTGTAATATTCTCAAATCATCTAACTGGGTTACAAAGAAGGCAATGTCCTGGGAGACTTGACTGGTGCATTTGTCTGAGAAATTCCATAGGCATGTGTTGCTATGATTATTTTTCACTGCTTTTGACAGTGATCTTGGAGACCAAATGCCCCCATTCAAGATTTGCAAGATCTGCAAGAAACTCTTGCAAAAAGAGGAACTAATATCTCTACGGACAAAATGTCAAAATGCTTTTCTTTTATTTTTCTTTTTTTTTTTTTTTCCAGTTCATGGTCTCATTTACTCTCCCTTGTAAGAGAACTGAAAAAGAGTTAGGAGTTCAGGTTTGGTTTGGATAAAATCCTGAACTGTGGATGTGTCTCTGAATTACCTCATCGTCTCGGCATTTACTCTCCCTTGTAAGAGAACTGAAAAAGAGTTAGGAGTTCAGGTTTGGTTTGGATAAAATCCTGAACTGTGGATGTGTCTCTGAATTACCTCATCGTCTCGGTTTGAGCCCTTAGCTGAACTTTGTCCTACAATCCACCTCCAACAACACAGTGAAAAGTTTAGTATAGACTTAAAAAACACAGAATCAAAATTCACCTTAGTATAAATACACTGAAAATAAAGTATATATTTATATTATTCATTATATGCAATTGACCTTTTAGCATTCACTTACCCCCCACTAGCTTAAAGAATGATCTTACAAATCCTTGCACCCGCTGGGTGGGCAGCCTCATTCACACCATAGAAACCTATTGTACTGACTCTGAAATAAACAAAGTTATTTCCCTATATAAGCGTTTAGGATTTACCTGTGCATTTCATTTAGTAAAACTTGGTGAGTACATGAGCCTATGGAAACAGAACCTGAATCACGAAGTGCGGTACTTCCACAGCATGATAAAGGCTCCATTCCAAACCCCACAGAGATCAGCTGTGGACGAGTGGACAGGGATGAATAGTCACTTAAGTCCTCAGGACACACATAAGAACCAGGCACCTGCAGGCCCGTGTGCTTCTTAGTGAACACCAGCCCCACCACCTTTTCCCCCTGGGCTGTAGGAGCTGTCTATGGATTTCTGGATATGCAGCACCCGGGGCTGCCAAACACTGGAAATCTCAGACTGTATTCTAACTGCTGGCTTACCCCTGCTGGCACATCAGCCATAGCTCAGGCACAAAATTGCCTTATATTAGGCAGATTCAAAATACAACAAACGACACTTACTCTCCTCTCCCTCCCACGGGCCTGCCAGTTGAAAGAGCTGAGCCTCAAAATTGTATTTGAACCAGTGGAAGGTGCAGGAGACCCCCTTGTTGAGAAACCAGGCGTGCATTAGGCGCGCAGCATTCCACGGTGCATTTCTCAGAGAGAACACCAAGGGAAGGTCAGAGCCCGCAGCCTCGGCTCCCCAGGGGCAGTTTGAGCTGAAAGGCTGATACATTGCAGTGCCAGCACACAGAAAAGCCTTCCACAGTGCTGTCTCTAACGGCCATCCTTCGGCACTTCAGTAGATGGCACTGTCACATCAACAGGGTTACAGGAAAGGAGCGAGGCACAGATGATATTTTCACAATGTATGCTTTTCTTCAAATGAACTACCTTTTTTTTTTTTTTTTTTCTTTCCCTGTAGATGATATCTGATTACATCTATTTGATTTTTCATGGTAATAAACGAACTATTGAAAATGTATAAAAGAGAACACTGATCAATTTGTTGACATCTTTTCTATTTGGTAGCATGGAGTAGGACTAAACCACATGTTCTTCTATTATAAATCCCTGGGGAAAAAAAATGTTCCTCACCTTACATTACTTTTTTTTTTAACCTTGTCTATTATTTTTTAAAATAGTTATGTAATTCTCTTTTCAGCTGTGAACTGCTCTGATTTCTGCTACATTTCAATACATTCTAATTTTTTCTCTTTCAGTCTTCTTTATACCATGAGACAATGGACTTTCTGGGGTGGTTATGAGGGGAAGGGGAGGAAGATCCCCCCTCCAAATTTTGAAAGTAAAACACCTTTAAAAAATCCTGTTCGATCTCTCTACACATCTGGTTCAGCACCTACATTTTTATTAGTGTTTCCCATGGAGGTGAGATCAACACTGCCTTAAGAAGACTTTACGCTTGCCAAACCCATAAGCTATCAAAGAACTGTAGCCCTCAGGGTGACCACAATCCCTTTGGGGAAAACAATGTTAGCTAGTCCTCAATCAAGCTTATATTCCTGGAAAATTTCTCCTGTAGCTATTGTTTTTTGGGGTTTTTGTTTGTTTGTTTTTGTTTTTGTTTTTGTTTTCTGCTAAATTGTATGACAACCCTGGAAAATCACTCAGAAATTTTGTCCAGCATTTGAATTATACAGTCAACCACAGGAAATCTGATGGAGGGGCAACAGATTTTTGCTCTGTCGTGTAGTCCTGTTGGTATCACTGTCACCTTGGCAGGTGGATTTAGACTAATTTCCCATGGCTTGATCTTTGCTGACATGCCAGGGCTTTTGCCTAAGAACCTGTAAACCATGCTGAGTCTTCTTGGTAAGCAAATGATTGCCCATTTCTCCCTATTCACCAGGGACTTGGCTTTGCATTTGGAACAATTTCCTAACAAAGCCAATGGGTGGACTTTTGTGGGGGAAAATAAACTCTTTTTTTCGCCATATATGAAAAAGAGGGATACAGCCACATTCTTACTACCAGCTAGAAGGATGCTGAATTTGCAGTAAAACTATTACCACCAGAGATCCCATCAGTATGCTGGGCAGCAGATCCATCAGCTTTTCTAGGAAATCTGTGGAATCTGGGTCAAGAGTCTGCAAATGAACAAATTGCTCGCTTTCTGCAATATTATGCTCACAGAAGCTTTGAATACTTGCAAAGCTGTAGTTTCCAGGATGAAGCTTTTTAGCCTGAGGCTGAAGAGCCACAAGGTGATTACTCCTGCTCCTTCCCTTCCTCCTTCCTTTCTTCATTCTATGTGGTTGTTGTTTTTTTCCCTTTCAATTTGTTTTAGCATTATGTCTGAACTTTAAGAATGATGTAAAAATTGGAGAGACTTTATAATGGATTATCTGTGATACAGAAGAGTCAGATGTTTTCTACAACACCGCAGAGTGAGGATGGTGATGTCAAATGACCTAAAGAAGGGCTGCTGTGCTCAAAAGCTTATCTGTTCAGTTTAATCATTTCAATCGGTCTATTGCAAAATATTGCCTCACCAGAAATTTTGCTTCATTGGTAGTTAACAATATAATTACAGAATTTAAGATGCCCGAAGACACAATTGTCATCATAGCAAGCATTGTCATTTCAGGCCTAAAAGAGATCATAAGAAGAGCTTATAAAGTAATAAATTAAACAACTTTGCCATTCTATAGGCCTTTGCCTTTCAAGACCCTTCGCAAATACTCATTTCAGACCGGTCACCAGTAAGGAGCACTGACCAAGGCCCATTCCCAGCTGGCGCCCGGAGCCGCTGCACAGACGGAGCCCGGAGCTCCCCATCCACCTTCAAAGGCTCCGAGCTCATCACGGGGAGCCCCCATTCATCCCCACGCCATCCCTGGGAGCACAAAAGGAGTTTTCAGGGGAAACCGCAGGATACGGCTTTTCTCACGGTGCAAATCGCCAGCCCCTGCGAGCTTCCCGGGGGAGGAAGAGGAGGAGGAGGAGGAGGAGGAGAGGCGGGCTGGTCGCAGGCAGCCCTGCGGGCACTGCTGACGTGGTGCCAGGGACCGGGCTCATTTCGGAGGGGAGACGAGCGGGGAGAGGCTGGCGGTGCTGCGGCTGCAACGGCCACCGCCCGCTCCTGCAGCAGCCTCCTTCCCTCCGCCCGCACCGGGCCTGGCTCTCCCCTGCCCGCCCCCGGGGAGAGGGATGGCGGGGGGCGAGGGGGCTTCCCGCCTGCTCGGGGCACTGTGCCTCACCGCCGCCGCCTGCCTGCACCTGGTGGACGGCCGGGACCCCGCAGCAGAGTGGACCCTGGAGAAGGTGGGTCACGTTTGCGTTCCCGAGGCTCTCCTCGCCTCTCCGCACGGTCGCCGGGGGCGGGCGGCGGTTCGCGCCCCCCGGGCAGCCTCCTGCCGTCCCGCCGGCAGCGGGAATGCCGGCCGCGGGTGTGCGGGAGGTGAGGATGGGCAACATGGCTCCCCGCTCACCCCCGGTGACGGCTGCGGGAAGCAATCCTTCTCCACACGTGTGCCATGCCGGCGATGCCGCCTGCGGAGGGGCAGCTGGAGCCATGGAGCTTTGCCAGGGGCAGTTAGTCAGTTTAAGGGAAAACCCAAGCAGCACGAGAGGGGGCAAAATCCGAAATGATGTTCCATGGAACATTCTATTATACCCCAATTTTCAACGTGATCACGGTGATTCAGAGGACAGTGACTTGGTTTGAGAAAACAAATAGTTCTTCCAGCAGTGATGCACATTTTGCTACGAAAAACAAGTAGGGATGGTGTTGATAGCTACTGAAAAATTGTTTGGAAAGGATACGATGGTCGTAGAGCCATACCATATTGCTTTTAATTCAAAATGTTGTGTGATCTAGTCAAAAAAAGCAGTCTGGAGATAACATTTAATGAAACAGCAACAGGCAGTAAACCCCTGATTTCTGTGTGTAACAACTCTTAGTGGTCAATTACGAGATACTAACATAGTTTCTTTGTGAAGAACTAAACCACATGGAACACAGGAGAGAGTACAACTGCAAATTACATTAAATTAAGGGGTTCAGGAATTTCCAAATGGAAAATATACTTCTAGGGCCCATCCCCAGGTGTTTGTAGAAGAGGGGAACTCAAAGTTCAGCCAGCACTGACTGAACTCCGCTGATCAGTGCACCCTTCTCTGCACCAATAGATCAGAGTCCAGCTGACAAAACGAACCTTCCCTCATACAGTTCCACTCGCTTCCCCTTAGTCATTCCCTTTCTCCTCGATTTTATTCACTCCCCATTCAAATAAGTGTTGGGTTTGTGGGTCTTTTGGTGTGGCTTTTTTTTCTAAGAGAAATTTTCTATTAATGGTATCTTACTATATATATCATGTATAGGCTACATATCTGTAACATAATACATCTGTAGTATGCATAATACATAAATAAGAATATGCGAGGCTAAGTCTTTAGTCATATTAGTCAACGTACAAGCGTGTAGCCCCAGTCTCCTTTTCTTTTCAGCCCCCTTGAGCCACACCAGTACCCTCTTTACCCCATTCCATTCCAGCCAGTCAATCTGCTCGCCAGTGCTGGAAATAGTATCTAACCGCAGAACCCGAACATCTGAACTCCTCAGCCCCTGCAGGCACTAACCAACAACCACTTCCTCTTCCTCATCAAATTCTTGTCCCTTGACAACTTTTGTTCCTCCTCCCTAAAGGGATGTGTGAGCCACAAGTTGAAAGTCTTACAGCATACAGACCTTCTCCTCCTCCTCTCATTGAGGAGGAGGAGGAATCAGGTCCTAAACTTAAGAGTTGTTGGAAGTTAACTTCCATTGGCACTGAGCTGAAATATACCAAAAGCAAGGTAAGTGTGGGCTACCTGTAGAAGTTGAAGTCTTGCAATTTCATGCAGATTAGTACAAAAGGTCTTGTGGTACCCTGTGCTAACCCTGTCATTCTTGTGCCCCCCTGCCGTGGCCATGGAGGAAACAGAGATTGACCAACACTGTAAGGACTGAGCCATCTACAGACCTCATTCTGCTTCCCTTTTATTTCATGACAGCTTTTGTAATTCCTCTCACTTCCCAAATTTGAAGATCTCTGTTATTAGAAATGGGAATTTATTCCTCTTTTCTGAAGTTTTCATACATTTGTACTTCAATAATGTTTCTTTGCAAAGTGATTCAATGACCACAATTACCAGACATGCTCTACATTAGGAGCGAGATGATTCCATGTTCTAAGTAAGCCCTTTGCTTGTTCAACTGAAGGCATATTTTCTGAACTTCCTTAACTAAATTGTCCTTCCACACTCTTCTGAGGCACGTAGCTTTGGACTTTCCTGTTACAGCCTGTTCCTCCTGAACAGAACAGCTCCCTGACAACTTTTTCTCTTATCTGTGCCTTTTCTACATTGGTGTAAATTCTACTGTATCACATGTTTAGTCTTTCAAAAGACATTTCATGCATCTTCTAAAATATAATTTCCAAACTTGTAAAAGTTCTTCTTTATACCAGATGAAATGCAATTTTTCTTTAACCCATGTCTAAATTTGCAAGCATGAAAAATGTTAACTGCACATCCTAAAATTTGGTGTCCTCACAGTCTTAAAATTCAGCTTTAAACTTAAACAATATATTAAAACCAGCATCATAGGATTCAGTGTCTTTGCGTCTCCCCTCTACTTATTTTCCCTAAGTAAGCTGAAGGGGATTAGAAGAAACGTCCACACATAGATAAACAGTTGGGACAAGAGAGAAGGGTAGAATTACATGCTTACAGTGAAGTCTAGAAAATATTTGTGCTGGTGCCTGCTTTGCTCAGCACATACATAACTGAAGTAGAAAAGAAGACAAATAGTGAGGCAAACCCCATTTTTTAACAATATTTGTCAGTCAGGGTAATTAAGATAACAGGTCATTATACAGGACTGCAGAAGACCTCAAGATCGGTACACTCTCTGCCCAAGTAATCAGTTTCAGCAGTCATGGGAAGCGACACACATGAATGAATGGGAAAGGAAGAGGAATGTTATTTCTCTTTTTTGTTAAGGTATACAATGATGGAGTTAGAGTAAATATATCTGTGCAAATGTCAGCTTGATGCAGCAGCAGCCCAAAAGCAAGCCAGTTGTTAAACAGTTTTAAGAAAGGAAAAGAATAGAATAAAAAATACGATTATCCTACACTATAAGCTGTGGTGCACTCCTGTTCCAGTTTCCCTCCCGTTCCTCATCTCAAAAAGGAAGAGGTAGACGGGGACCACTGAAGGACAGCCAACCTGATCGATCACGTACGGCAGCTCTGGTAAAAGAACAAATAAGCAGACTGGGATTTTTCAGTGGGAGAAAGGAGTAGAGGGAAGCCTCTGTCATAGAAATAAGGAATAGATATGACAGGATCATCCTATTATAGTGCCTAAATTAGGCATCTATAAAAACAGGAGTGACTCAGGAAGTTCCTGAGAAGACAATTGCTAGGAACTGGGTAGGTTCAAATCAGGTGCCCAAAGGGGCTTTTGAGATGTCCTTGGGGAGCCCACCGGGCATTCAGCTACCACTCCAGAACAGCACAAGGCTCTTGCACACCTTTGACATATTTGCCAGCCCCATGAGGTGTCGCAAGTATTCTATGTCGTCTCAAATAGCTCCAAAGGTCCAAGCTCGGGCAACAGAAAGGAAGCTACTGGGGAGGCAGCTAGCACTGCTAGCTGTTGCCACAGGAGACAAGCTGCCACTTCTGAGGTTAACCTATGTGTCACTAAAGCTGATGTCTACCAGCTAGCCCCAGATGAGCTGTGCTATGACCTGTAGTCACACCGATCACACCACGGCGAGCAGAGACCACAATGACACAGCTTTACTCTTTCCGAGACTGAGCCAGCTTATGTTTTTCTCTGCAATACTCCCATATCATAACGTAGGCACAGCACAAAGCTAAATATTAGTACAAAAAATAAAGCTTCTGACGTTTAGTCCCAAACTCATTTGAAGGTGGCACAGTTGCAGACATCACTATGTATGTAGAAAAGAGAGAACCTAATCATGGGTTCATCATTTTACAGCTGGTAGGTAAAAATTTCTCCCGTGCTTCTAATACTAGTACATTTTGCAAGGAAATCAAAGATACAGAAGCCACAAAGCTTTAAAATGTCAGTATTTTTTGAGATAAAAGCTTTCTTAAGAATACTTTTTGTTGTCAGTTAATCAAAATAGCACAATATATCACACAGTGTAATTCTGAAGAAAACTATGATTTAAGAAGTTTAGTAATAGTTATAGCTATAGCAATCTTTCCCTTTTTCTCCTTTCTACAGTATTCTCACCAACCAAGAATTTTACATTCTGATGCCATTCAAAAAGTCACAGCAAACACAGATGTTTCTGAAATGTGGGAGAATGATTTGCGCCCTATCCTGATAGAAAGATACTCAGGATCACAAGGAAATTATGTTGTACGACAGGTAAGACAACACTTCCTGAAAACCTCTAAGAACATCTATTATTTATATTCTGGTAGTGCCATTAATGACCACTACAGGGACAGACACATTCCTTTCATTCGCTAGGATGAACTCTATCATTGTTCATGTCTAGACTGCATAGAGCCTATATGACACAGCTTGCACTTCGGCTGACATTATTTTCTGGGACTGCATGGCATGATGGAAAGAAAAAAAAAATCATACTTAAATATACATTTTAAATTAAAAAGCTCACTTCAGGTTTGGTACCCTAAGTACAACACAGCAGTTGTCCATTTTCTCATGTGCACAGGCTTTTGGCCGCTGGTTAAAACTCCCTGTGACCCTACACGGGGATGGAATAAATTACATCCCTCCACCCCTTTTCTGGAGAGGTCCTGTGCTGACACACTCCCCGGTAGTGTTTCCTCAGATGGATGGATCAACACGAAAAGGGATTGGAGGGGTCCAAACTGGCTGGCAGCCTAGATGGTCAACAGGACAAAGCACAGCACTGGTTTAGTCGTAGCACTAGCCCTCGTCTACCTTTAAGCAGTGAACTCAACAGCTCCTAGATAACCCTAACTACAATAAGTTTATTTGCCACTCTGCAAGTGGTAGACTGGAAAAATGCAGCTTTTTTATGCTTTTTGTGTGTGCGTGTGCACATGCATGTGTCTCTCTCGATTTAGTTTTGTGGTTTCTTTAGTGATACCCTGGAAGGCAGCCAAATGAAAGGGGAAAAAAAGTGAGAAAAATAAAAAACCAGCAGAGCCTAGGCTTGAAAACCACAAATCCTATTCAAAACAGGATCATTCTGTTACAAGGTAACAGCATGTACTAAAGCAGACATCCACCAAAGGGAAAAAGAAGTATTCTATTGTCAAAGCATTATGGAGATGAAATGGATGACATGTATTTCTTAAGACACGGGAAATGCATCAAACCCCTTCAAGGGAGAAGACTAGCGACAGTCATGAATAGTGCATGCTGGGAACTACATCCAGGCTTATATATTCCTCTTAATCCATAACAGACGTCCTTTCCTCAGCCTACAGATAGCAGATAGACCATACAACGCCTTAAAAGCTTTCAGAGGGTGACCACAAACAAAATGGAAGTTTGTTCTAGCACTAAAATTAATGGCAGTATTCCCATCGACTTCACTAAGAACAGGACAAGTCTTCAAAGTCTGTTTTCTTTTTTCCCCTTAGAGGCTTTTCCTAATGTTTATTTAAAGAGAGGAATCTGCCTTGAAGAAGCACTCTAGGGACCTATAAAAATAAGTTGCTCAACAGAGATGGCCCTCCAATAATAGTTAGTCAGAACTCTGTATTAAGTGTAACTGGGGTAGTTAGAGGCACTCTCTTTAGGTAGGAAGTTACCTAAAATGAATGACCTCTTTTATGTATTTACAGTATTCATTTTTATCTTTACATGAACTATACTTACCAGATTTCCTTTTTAAAAGACTGTTCAGACTGTCTGTCTCTTACAGCCTTGTAAACAACTTATGCCACTTGAAAGGCATATTTCTTATAGAGTTAGAAAAACAAAGCTTTTTTTTTTTTTAATGCTGCTGTGGCATCTATGTGTCTTAATTGTCAAAATAGCCACAATAGCTGCCAGTTTTAAAGACATTTAATTTAATGACACAACTGAGTTCAGATTTGAAGAGGTAAGCATTAAATGTGTCCTGGTTACACCTGAAAAAACACTGGCCTGGAAAATTCAGAGATCAAGATCTTAATGTTTCCTATTAATGGGCAATGATTCAAAGCACCCTCAGACTCCAAAGACAAGAGACAGCAGGGAGAAATGAAAAGCAAGTGAGCCAATCACAGCCTGAAGTAGCAAAGATGTTGCTTACTTTATATAGTGACATTACATGTTTTGCTATCACAGAATCATGGAATTGTCAGAGTTGTAAGGGACCTCTAGAGATCACCTGGTCCAGCTCCCTGCTAAAGCAGCATTGCCTGCAGCACATTACTCAGGACTGCATAAATATTTAAAGTTTATCTTTTAAAAAGACCAAAAACTTACAGAAATAAGCTTAAGTGCCATTATTTACTAGCTAGTGACAGTTCGTCTGCAACATCTTTTTGAAGCAAGCAATATTAATTTTTTTTTTTTTTTTTAATTGCAGCACATCAAGCACCGTCTTCAAAAATTACAGGCTGGTTGGGAAATTGAAGAAGATACATTTCAGAGATACACACCATATGGATATCAAACATTTTCAAATATTATCAGCACTCTCAACCCCTCTGCAAAACGCCATCTAGTACTTGCTTGCCACTATGACTCGAAATTCTTTGGACAACAATGGGATGAGAGAGTGTTTGTAGGAGCAACTGATTCAGCCGTGCCTTGTGCTATGATACTGGAGCTGGCACGTGCCCTGGATAACAGGCTCCAGTTAATCAAGGTAGTTGGCTTGTTTCATTTTGGTTTTGCAATAGCAATAGCACTTAGGGCGCTTCACGTTCTCTCCCACAGCCTGTGTGCCTGATTTTCTGATCGCTGTGCCTATAGTAAAACTCCCATTGACTTCAGGAAGAACAGAACAGAGATCCGTATCTACTGCTTTAGAGTACATTATCACAGTCAAACTTCTTATGCAAAGGGTGGCTATCTAAAAAATATCTAATAACTACATACTATATACAAATAACAAATTATGCATTAATAATACATTTCATTTCATAGACTCAGCATAGACTCCTATCTAAAAGGCACAGAACCCTACTTAGAAGCTCCTGTTGTATCCAGTAATATCTAGGGTCATGGACAAAGTTTTGTTGCTTTCTCAATCTTGCATTTTTAAAATCTCTCACTTATACTCTTTTTTGGAGATGAACGAACTAATTGCTGTGCAGGAGAGTTACACTCATGTCCCTCCATCCCATGATGATTTCAAGCTTTTCTTGTTTTCCTTTATCAATTTGGAAAATTGATAATTTTTTGTCGTATTATGATAAAAATTATATGTATGAAGTGAGTGATGGCTGAGTACAGGAGAACAGTCAAGTAATAGTATAATATCATGAGTCCGTGGTACCTGCGCTATGAAAATCTGCTTCAAAGTGCTGCCATTGCTCGGCACAAAAATCTATTGATCCTACTAGCTCTAAAAGCATGTAGGATTACAAACTTGTAGGATTACAGATTCATGAGTGCCATCTACTGGTTCAGTATTTACTATTTACAGAACAATACTTTTCATAAACTAACAAAGCTTTTGCAGCAAAAGGTCTCAAATGCTTTGCAAAGTGTCAAAAATACACTCAGCCCAGGTGTTAAGATTACTTGATTGCAGTTGTTTCAACTGATTTGGTGCCCTCTGACACTAGAATATTTAAGAATTAGAAGATCAGGAATACGCCAATGTTTTTAGTCACAAAAAAAAGCACTTTTGTAATACAGATGCTTTCATTTAGAAGCTTCATTTAGAATAAATTTGCCGGATGGCTACTTATGAAACAACCTGCACACTGACTTAAAGACTGGATTTTTTTGCAAGTAATACATCATCTTTTGATTAAATGGCTTAATCGTGTGAGATGACAGCATTTGACAAAAAGGCAGTCTAATTTCTTTGCACAGGCTACCATTTGCGCAGTCTGTTAACAAAATATACTTTGGGATCCATCTGCTTAATACATTAGCTATGACCTTTTTGCTCTGCTCATAGTAGCATAACAGACTGTAATGTTTTCAGCCAAATCTATTTATACTTTGACTTGGAGTTGTGATTTTTATCTTGATATTTCTCCAGTTCTATAGAGTAAGTTTAAAATTAAAGAACAAAGAGATCTCTCTACATTATTCAGTTGTGGTAATGTGTTAAACAGTATTAGTAATAACAATAATTACAAATACTGCTTTCTAAAATTCAAATGGCATTAATACAGTTTCCTCCAGAATGCAATGCAAAATGACTGCTATCAAAAGAGCTGTCCTGTGCAAAGGACAAAGGGCAGCAAAGCATTGCCATTAGAGAAATCCATATATCACTGTGAGCATAATCAATATCATCTTGCCTACGTGAGCGACATTTTATAGAAGTTTTCCACTACTGTTTATATTGGATCAGCTCCAGTTTGTTGGGAGTTGTAGCCCATACAGGACATGACTGTTGCCAGTGACCCCACCTTTTTAACCACATCATGCAATTTCACTTGAAATAACGTTAATTCATAGAGGGCTTAAAATATTAATGGCAACTACCAAGACTACAGTTCCCAAAACTGTTCCTATAGCAGAGCTGAACTGGGTTTATCCCCGTTGTAGATTATTATGAAACCCTGCCAGTGCAAACAAGGCTTCCGTTAGTAAACACAGGGAGAAAAAAAGCTTCTACACTGGGGAGAAATTTCACACAGATATCCCCTTTGTGACCTTAAATACATGAGTTGTATATATTCTCTGTTTTTACTGCTGTGATATTTTTGGTTGTTGAAAGGGAAGGGCATTATCTACTCCACTCTCTGTGCTTTGGTTTTAGGGTAAAGTCGCCTAGGTGGTTTCCAGTCCCCCTGAAAGAAAATAAATGGTCATTCTTCTCTTGACTAACTGCTCTTTGTCCCTCAAAGAGCCAATACACAACTGGCCTCCACTGATGCACAAGGGTAGCAGAGATATTACTCCTTTGTGGCACTATCATGTAATAGTATTAGCACTCAGATCAGGTGGTGTTGCTGACATGTCTCCTCATTGCTTCTGAGACAGGTTTTGCAGACCTGTCTCAACATACTCAGCTCATATCCACTGACGTCAGGAGTGAAACTTTTAACCAAGAACCAAAATGATACCAGACTGGAGAACATGCTAGACAAATAATAATAACAACTGATTGCTACCACTATTACACCATAACCTGTGTTTAACAGCCATAGGAAGGTCTGCATAGGGTACCTTGAAAATATACCCCTACTGATGTTGCTTTTATGACTACAGTATTTGCCCTTTATTTAATGGTCTGGCCAGAATGAGTTATGTTACTTTTAACTTCCTCCAACAGACCAGCTCAACATCAAGACCAGACCTTTCACTTCAGCTCATTTTTTTTGATGGTGAAGAAGCTTTTGTCCGGTGGTCCCCTTCCGATTCCCTCTATGGATCGCAACATTTAGCTCAAAAAATGGCATCCACTCCACATCCACCTGGTTCAACAACCACAAACCAGCTACAGGGCATAGTAAGTGGCTTTCACCTCCCTAATGACTAATAATAAATTGCATTTTTTTTATATTTAATTAGCAAGGAATCAGCCAAATTCCCAAGAGACCATGAACCCGACCAAAGTTAAAGGAAGAAACAGGCTTGTGGAAATGTTATGAGATGTACTAAAATAGAGAGTTGACAAGAGCTTTTCAGATTAATCTGCTCTGAGCTTCTCCATGCAACTATGAGGAGTCATCATAGGAAAATCAAAATACACAAATTTATTGGAATATAAACTAGGATATGCACCATCTTCAAGAGAGATAATTCCAAGTGATTAGGAAAGAGCATGGACACAGGATCAGTCTATGAACAAATCTCCTTTAGCTCAGCACTAAGCTACAGTGAGCTCCTTATTTCCCTTCGATTCCTACTAACATTCTGTTTGTCTGCTCCCTTCTCCTTCCTGCCTTCCAGTTTCCCTACTCGCTGCTGAGACACTTTTCTTCTGTCACTGGATCTTGTGACTCATAAAATGTCTATCCCTTGACAGACTTTGTTGTTCTCCGGGGAAGAAGCAATTTCCTTTTCTTTCTCCCCACCTCCCATAGTTTTTCTTTTAAAGGAATATAACACACAAAGTGCAAACAAAGCAACGAAGTCTGCTCCAGCTTGAGAGCAGAGAACTGGCCTACCTTTTTCCTCCTCAGAAAGACAGCAAAATGCATCTGATCGGAATTGGGTTCTGCTAATGAATTCTTTTCAGGCACCACGACAGAAAAGCTAGAGCTTTGACCAGAGCTATCAAAAGGCCCAGTTTCTGTACAGACACCACCGGGTTTCATTATTGCTGCTGCTGCTGGTGTTGTAGTAACATAAAGAATTCTGTATTAAAGATTATTTTCTTCTGTAGGACCTGCTTGTACTACTGGATTTAATTGGTGCACCAAACCCAATCTTTCCCAATTATTTTCCAAACACTATCCGATGGTTTCAGAGGCTTCAAGCAATCGGTAAGGAGTACAGGCTTTTGGTGAATTTGAAAATTTAGTTCATAGTTTCTGAATGCATTAAGTTCTGTAAATCAGATTTTTAGATTACTTTTCTGTTTTACAGTTATGATATTTAATAATGTACATGTTAAATTTTGTGCATCTTAAACCTATGTGAATATTTTAATATTTAATTCATAAAATAACTAATGAAGATTCCCAGACCACGAAACAGATTTTATGACTGAGTGTCACTCTGCAGCTCTTGGGAACCGCTTCACTTCTGTGTTTTAGTTCTCACTTCCGTAAAATAATAGTAATAGCACCAACCATAGAGTAATTTAGGTTGGAAAATTATTTTGAGATCACCAAGTCCAAATGTAAACCTAACACTGCCAAGACCAAATGCAGGACTCCCAGGTGGGTCTCACCAGAGCAGAGGGGCAGAATCCCCTCCGGTGTCCTGCTGGTGGTGCCGCCTGGGATCCGGCTGGATCTCTGGGCTGCCAGCCTGTGTTGCCACCTCATGTCTGGCATTTCTGCCTCCATGGGGCGGCTCTAATCCCAGCATCCCCCAGTGGGTATGGATACTGACCGAGCTGCAGGACCTTGCACTTGGCTTGAGATCTTCTAAGTGTGAAACAAACGCGAAAAACAGGCACCAACTCCTTTATCTTCTTTGATGGAAAAAGCTTCCATTTCAGAGGAAAAATAATTCAAATGTGCTAACATGCCTCATATCGTCCAAAAGTTGTAATAATCACTTTCATTGTCAATTACAGAGCAGGAGCTACACAACATGAATCTTTTGAAGAATCACCTTGTTGAACAGCAGTATTTCCGGACTAATTTACATCGTGGCTTGGTTGAAGATGACCACGTTCCATTTTTGTTAAGAGGTACTGGAAGCTTTTCTATTTTAAAGTATAAGTTCAGTAACAAATACATCATTTAGTGAATTAGCAAGTGCATATGATCCTATTTTTCAAGCTTATTTGCCCCAACTTGAGGCTTCCAAATCCAATTTTACTCACACCAAGAGTCACAGCTTTGAAAAAAACATACCCCAAAAAAAGCAGTGGTGAAACATCATTTTGCACAAGCACAGCTCCAATGACACAGAGATAATGGAAATTTCTGTCAGCAGTAGTGTCCCGCGAAGATAAGCCACTCTGATCCAGTGGGATATCACTATATACCACACTAGCCACCTAGTTACTATGTCTAGGAGCATTGAAACACTCAAAGGTTGTATCTTCAAAGACAAGAAAAATCTCTAAAGATCTGTTGTCAACGTTACAGTAATGCTCACTATTTACCTGTGTCAATTTTCAGGCACTGGCTCATGCAAAAACTCACATACTGAAATCAGACATCCTCATTCCCTGAAGAGAACAGAGATTTCACAGCTGTCAGCTTGAGGGAGAAATAGCAAAGGACACAATATCCCTGAAATCCTTCCTGGAATTAGGCACACACCTGCAAGTAGGATTCCCTAACTAAGCATTACTCCTGGCAGACACCTACACCATAGCCTCGACTTTGTGTTCATTATTTTCCTTTGGGATGCAATCAAAGAAAGGGAAAGCAGTTGTACTACTGCTGCCACCTGGTCAAGATACAGGTTAGTGATTAAAGCACTTGTCCAGGTTCAAGATGTGGATTTGATGTCCTTCTTGGTTCAAGCACGCAGCAGAGCATCTCCAAAACTTAGATGTATCTAATACATCTACTATCTATTAGATACAGTAAATGCTTCTGATCGAAGTTTTCCACTGTACAGCAAGGACTTACAAGAGTCACATTGCTAGAGAAGAGTTTACCAAAAAGGAATGTAACACTAGTTCAACAAAGAGGGTAACTACTTGGGAAAGGAGGGATGCATCCTCATATCCAGCCCCTCATTTTACCATTGCTTATGCTCTGTTAACTACTGGGTAACGCCAAATGCACACACAGCTCTGGAAGCAGGCACAAGACCAGCCACACCACTTCTAAGCGAGTGCTCTCTTCATTGAGCTATGGTTACTGTCTCTGGTTCAATGGCTCTTCTACTCCATGAATCTTTCATTTTTCACACCAAGGCAGGACCCAGGTCCAACAAAACCAACACAGCCATCATATCCATGTCCAGGGATATCAAAAATCCTACACGGGAGAAGTTAATATGGGAAAAAATGACTACACTTCAAAACCTTTTCTAATAACATGATCAACACCTAGTGAAGAAAACAGATTCCTTAGTGTTATGCAGCTGAAAAAATGAGAGAGGAAAAGTAGTAAAACAGGGAAGAGGCTGGAGAGAAACAATGCTCCCCCAAAAAAGCAATCAGGAAGCAGGAGTCTGATTTAACTCCTCTTTTACCTGAAAGTTGCAGTATGTGGTGGCTTGATGTACATATATATATATATATGCAGTGCTACAGATCCTTTCAAGTGGAAGTTCTTTTATCTGAGAATAACAGTGGTTCTATTTTACAGAGTAAAAATACAGACACCATTTATGGAGAGGACTAAAAAAATGCCTGAAAAAGTGCTCAACCTTAACACTGTCACAAGAACATGGTAATCAGTTTTCAGTTTGGGGAGCTGCAGTGGTTTCTCTGCCCTTCCATAGCTCCTAAACATGGTACCAACCCCTACAACGCAAAGGATCTCAAGAAACCAAAAAGCAAATATCACAGTAAAACTACTAGCTACAAATGCCTTTAAAAAAGAAAAAAAAAAAAAAAGAAAGGAGGCAAATGTACTCAAAGAAAAGGACAATTATAGGAAACACACAATGAAATGGATGGGCTGCACTCACAAGCTTCAAAAAAAAACCAAAAAAAGGTAAAAGGAAACTGCAGTGATACACAGTCCCCTAAAGTCAGCTTATTGAGTAGTTACCTGACTCTATTGCGAAATGGTGACATATCCATTGGCTTAACAGAACTTCTCCAATATTTCTTTTCCAAATTTCATTCCTCCTTATAGGGGTTCCAGTCCTACATCTGATTCCATCCCCTTTTCCTGCAGTATGGCATACCATGGAGGACACAGAAGAAAACCTTGACAAAACCACTATCGACAATCTCAGCAAAATCCTGCAAGTGTTTGTACTGGAATATCTAAACCTGTGATAGATAAAATGTACAAATCGTACTCCATTCTAAATAGTGTTTGCCCACCTTCACATTTGCTATTTAATTGCACCGGAGAGCACTAAAGCAAAGCAAAATATAGTGATAGCTCTTGCCAGACCGATTATTGATTCAGCTGTTCCTGGCCCAATGTCCCATGTAGCCAAATAAGATAGCATTAAATAATAATTAGTTTCAGCCTGGAAAGAATTTGATCTTTCCATGTCTTACCTCTGAATAAAAAAACCCTAGAATTTTTCCAGATTGTTATCTCCGTTTTATGTCACATATTAAGATCCCAGAAGGAAATGCCTCCCAACATAAGTGTTAACTACAGTTTTTACAAGGTCTGACCAACTTCTGCAGTGTTCAGCAATGGAAGTTTATAACACATTATCAAAACAGGCAAAAATTACACTAAAACAAGCATCTACTTCAGGTTGCACTAAACTACCTCATCCTGAAATGAGCTGCTGGAACTCCTGACGCACAGAAAGGTTTTTTAATCCTCTCTGCTCCCTCTCCTCCTTCCCTTACAAGGAGTGCTGCAAGGGCTCTTGTCCACAGACAGCAAGCCACCAGGAAACAGAGAAATAACCCAAATTCAATTTTTTTCCTGTCGTTTGTTGGATACTTTTTGACGGAGAAGGGTGGTGGGGAGTGATGCTAAGAGGAAGGTATGTGGGAGTTCCCTTTGTGATTTGACTGCAACATAGGAGATATATACAGAGGAGAAGGTGGTGCATGGGAGCAATGCCCCAGCACACACCATCCATCCATGTGAGAATCACTGAAAATTTGACACAAAATAAAATAAAAACCCCTGCTGTTTTTAGTACAGATTACAACAGAACTAATCATACTAGGCAAGTGATCACTTTAGAAACTATAGTTTTATATAAATCTAATTTTAAAGGCAAAGTGCTATCTATCGAGAGTAAAATAAATATGAGAGTCAGAAGCAAGATGACAATTTAAGCACCAAAAAGCAAGGTCAAGCCACAGCCTGTATCAGAAAAAAATACTCATCAGTTTAACAACCCTGTGCTTTTACACTCCTTACTAGAATTCAATAAATTTAGTATAACACTCAGGCAAAAATCTAGCCTGGAATGAAATGAATAGGAGAAACCAAAAGAAGGTATCTCCAGAATTAGGTTGCCACTGGTGAGAAAAAGATGAGAGCATGTGAAGAAAAGAAAATAATTAAAAATTAAGCTGGTAGAGGATGAACTAGGAAAAAAAAAAACAAGCCAGTATTTTACTGCTCCGAACTTCTTCCATTAGGAAGATCTATCCTGGGCAAAGAGATTTAAAAAAAAAAAAAAAAACAGCTATGAAGCTGGAGACGTATCAGGTTTGGCCTGTATTTTAACAGTTTTCTAAAGTAAACATTTCTGAACCTAAGACAATATTTACATACATATTTTAGTGTCACAATAGAAATAGGTATTTACAGCAATGCAAAATTGTAAGATTTTACTGTTACAGGACAGCCTGAAAATGAAATTCAATCTAGTTTTGTTGCTCAAGATGAACCAAAAGCATTTTTTTTCCCCATCACTTCCAACATTTGTGAGAAATGTTTCTATTTTGCATGCAACTTCTGAAATAGAATGCAATGAAAATTCTAAAAATTGGACAGATGTGTTTATTTTCAGTATTACTGTACATCTGTGTAAATACATCAAAGCTATTTAACTCTTCATGATCATATTTTCCTCTACTTCAGCCCATTAGAAAACACTCTAAACAACTGAATTAAATCTTCTGAAGTTTCAACTGACTTCTGAGCAGTATAAGGCACCTACTGCACCTTCCTCAGTGGCAAAGAAGGTAACAAAATGGCTATATGCAGAAATATTAAACATAAGTTTGTGTGGCTAATTTCATTTTTACTGGTGAACTCTTATGATACTTCATACTTGCAGGGCCTCTGAAAAACACAGTATGCTTTTGCAGCGTGCACTGCTACTCTGCTTCAAGAATTTGAAAGTTAACTTAAAATAGGCTTCATTATGAAATGTAGGATCAGAGGATTGTTGTAACTGGGAAAAGCTTAATTTTTAAAAATCTCTGTTTGAGTTAGTCGAAATTATAGTTTAGCCATGTAGTACACCAGATCTCTGGCATGCAGTTCTTGAGTTATGTTTACTTAGTTCAAAGAAGTAAGATACAGGTTGGTGTACTATGATTCAATGGTTCTCGAAACATGAAGAGGCTTGGTTGGTTTTTTTTTCCCCTTAGGTTTTTGGGTTTGGGTGGGATTTTTTTAGGACAGAAAAAGAGGGGCCATTTCAACCAGATGTAAGCCCAGAAGAAGGTTTACTTAAAGAAGGGAGGGTCATCATCTTACCAATTGATATGATCCATCATTCATTTAAAAAATAACTGCTGGAAGGAAAACTTATATCAGCCCAGTAACCACGTGAATCCAAGTATCTTAGCTCCCAAAAGCACAAGAACCTGAAGTAGTAATCAGTAAAGCAAAGACATTGTGCAAGGTGGGTTCTCACTGCTACTTAAGGCAGTGGAGAACAAGCAGGTAGGAGAAAGTCTAGCCATTTAATAAAACAATCAGGAAACAAAAAATACAAGTCAAAAGATCAGGACTGGTATCTCTACCACTCTCAGTTTCAACACTGAATATCACTAAGTATCCAGATCAGTAGGATCAGAAATCAACTGATGGACTTCAGCTGATCTCATTACACAAATCAACAGAATTGCTGCACAGCTTGAATAGGATTTGCTACATCTCAAGTCATAGGTGAAAAAAAAAATAATTAAAAATCATCAATCTACCACCCACAAGAGGCTGTCGCTGGCTCGTCAAGCCCTCCTAAAAGTGTATGTGGTTATTACCAGGGCGAAGGGAAGGCAGAACAGAATGAACTCAGCAGCCACTACTCAATAGGTAAAACTGCAAAAAACCTGCCCATATTACATCAGTTATTTGTATTGTAGTAGGTGCTCTAGCTCCTTTTATATCAGGACAATGCAGTTTTTCACAAAAATCTTAAGCCTAAGTAATGGTACATGCCCCTCAAATTCTCTAAAGCCTGATGCATTTACCTACAAGTGAAGTGATCCTATGCAATCCCAGCTGGAACAAGTTAAGGGGATAACAACGCCAAATCCTCTGGTCGACAGAAATGATAGTGAGTATCAGTCCTCTTTTTTCTCTAGCTGGGGCAGCATTCCTATCACTAGGAGTGAAGATGATATAAATTAGCAATTCTTATTCACCACTTTTCAAATAAACATTTAGATTGTGACCACCTAACAGCAAAGTAAAATTAGAAAAGACAAAATGCAGTGAAAATGCTTTCTGTAGAATTATTACAAAGACCCAGTCTACATTGGTAGCAGACGCAGCAACACAGTTCCGAAGTTTCAGACAGCTGCTCATTGAGACTGAAATATCACCCGAGAGCATCACTTAAACAATATGTATAAAAAGATAACTATAAAATCTTGTACACAAATTACCACTTCTTCCTTGTCATTTAAGGATGATACTGATTTTATTTTCCTCGTATAAAAGGAGACATTTTACTCTGTGATGATTTAACAAATATTCTTAATATATTCATAACAATAAAGCAGCTAAAAAGCTGTTCTAATCTCTAAAAGAATCTTTATCATCTGCACATATATATTGTAAACAATCACTCAAAAAATAATTTTGTTAAAGTGATTATATTGCACTCGGAATTCTGGGATTCTCATTCTCCCTTCTCATTTTAAATCAAAGATCAGCTTCATTTTTTAATAAAATGGAGCTTTAATTTTCTACTAAAAACAAGTAGGCATGCAATCAATATAATACAATGTATTTAAAATGTCAGAAAAAGGGCAAGTGTTTGGTTATGAAATCAGAGTAAGGAACAATTCTTAAATAGGCCACACGAGAGTAGTATATTGTAAACATTCTGCTGACTCTAAGGTGGTGCAGAAGCTGTAAGAGAGTGCAGTCTAGTTCAGCACCCAAAAGGTACAGAGAATCTGTTCAAGTGTTCTGTACTTCAGTGAATATCCATGCAGCAATGGCACGTGTAATAGACTACACATAAAGACAGAGTAATGAAACAAAGGTGATTACTGAGCTAATGCTGACCTCATAGAAACACAGCCAATCGTTACAAGTTCATTGGAATTTTTAAATGCAAGTTTTCTAGATCATTACATTTTCGAACACAGCAGTGAAACTATTACTCTTGCTGCAGATAAAGTACAGAACTAGATTCCCTACTTGTAGCTTACTCAGACAGTACACCAGTGGCAGGCTGGGCACTACTCTCAGCCTAAAACATCTCAGCAAAACTCCATCATGCAGAACGTCACCTTGCTTTGTTTGCAAAGTGATGCCCTCCTCCATGCATTGGAGCAAGAAACACAGGTAGTGGAGGGGGAAAAAAAAGAAAGAGTAAAGCCATGTCGTTATGCAGAAAAATAAATCCTCAGCCAGTGTGAAGAGGCCACAGATCTTTAAAATTCAAATGAAGGCTGTTTTCTCAACTCAGTTCCACATGAGAAAGATTTCTCTACCAAATCCATTATCTTCAGGTAACATATCAATATCTTTGGAGTCCCTGAGATAGTACAGTTCCATATAACCACCCCGGACAAATGGAAAGACTTAGTATACAGATTAACAAGGTGGAAGCCAATATATAGCACCCTGAGTTGCAAGTGAAACAACAGGAACGGGCAACCCATTCCTCAACAGCCAAGAGATGCAGAGAAGGTATTGGCTTGGGAATGAAGAGATACATACTGCACAGGAGAACAGAAAAAAATGAAGTATTTCTAAAAGGCCTTTCTGTGTTAACAGAGCAGTAAAGAAAAAGACAGCAGAGGGAAGAGCTCTCCAAGAAAGGCCCTGAAGAAATATGGCTTTCTAGATGTACAGTAGAACAATAATGCAGAAACAGAGACAAGTTAGGCAGTCTTGTTCCAAGCATGCCCCAAAGGTTAAGTGCTTTAGCAATGACTAAGAACTGTCAGTGATCACTGACCTGTAGTCTGGATATAAACCAGGAATATAAATAGATACTTTTTCCCCTGAAACTACAGAAAAATACAAAGTCACAATCGAATCAGAGAATACTTTCTAGTCAAAAATGAAATACTGGCTTCAGAAACAATACAGCCATCTGCTCTGTATTTTAAATAGGGTTAATCGTAAAAAGAGGTGCTTGTAAAACCTTAAGTTTGAAATAGTTTATTTCCCAGTATATTGCTAAATAATTTTGCAGTTAAACCAGAAAGGAAGAAATATCAGAGATGAACATGGAATACTTACAACTAGAAAATGGTTGCTGAACCACCTGAATTTCTATAAAAGCATCAATAAAAATGTAAAAACACGGTCTCACAAAATTAATTATTAATTATAATCTGAAATGCCAGATTGTCTTCACAATGGCCACAATATGAATACTGACGGATTTTTGCAACCAAAACCTAATTGTGACTTTGCCAAAAGATGGCTTAATACAGCAAAACATCTCCAAAAATGGGGACTTGTATTTCTGCAATTTCCTATTCTCTCAGCCATTCCGCAAGCAATTCTCATTAGAAGAAAAATTGCTACCTGGTCACAATTTTACTCTCTTATGGAGTTGTGCTATACCTCAACACATTCTTGGGAAAATAAAGAAAAGTGAATAAAAAGCTGAATAGAAATAGACACTCTATAAAAACTACCTGTAAAGTATTTTAAGTCTGGAAAATATTTGTGGTATTACACAGTCTACCGCCGATGCAAAGAAAAAACTGCAATTTAACCATTTCATGAATATGAACAATGCACTTGTTCCCAGCCATTTAGAATGATCTGACATTCCAAATGTTTATAAAAATTGGGTAATAAAAGAATTAAGTCAATACCCTTAAGTACAATAAATAACAGTGTTTATTATGGTCGAGGTTGACCACGAGCGTTTGTTCCATATCTGCTTGGGACATTTAGAAAACCAGTTCTGAATCCTTGAGTTGCTCCCATTCCCGGTATTCCAAATCCTTGATTGAGTACACTGCTGTAGGGTGCGGATCCATGATTAAAGCCCAATCCGTAGGGCCTTGTCTGAGTGTTTAAAAGGATGACTGGACTCACATTTTTGCCTGGTGTATTAAAAGAAAATTCTGGCGGTGGGCTGCTGGGCTTAGCTGGAGTGGATGTAACAGGGTTCAAATTATCAGCAGCTTTCAAAGATGGCATTGGAATAATATGATGATCCGAAAGGTTCAGAATATTGTTTGCAATAGGCACAGATGATAAGGTAGGTCTGATCCAGTCATCTTTGAAAATCTGAACAGTCAAGGTAGAGACCAATGTGTATAATCTGTTAGTGACATGGGCAAGTACCATTTGTTCATTTGCATCTCTCCGAATTCGGACATGTACTGATCCAGCCTAGAAAGTGATAAAAATAAGTTGGCTGTTAACTGTTGCTTCAATAAAGATTCTCCATATGCATTCAAGAAGAGGTAAGTTATCCTGCAGAGAATTACACAAAGACCTTTTGCAGTGGAGACTACTGACTAAATTGAGAAACGTACTAAATAATTCCATAATTAGGATACATTTTGATCTTTCCTAATGCATTGATCTCTTATGAACACATCAAGA